ATACCATACCCTACCTGTACTCATACGAGATGTGAAATTCCAAAACCCATTTTTCAAACAAAAAAAACATCCTCCATTGGAAAAGGTAGGGGTGGTTACCCACCGAATAAGATAGAAATTGCCATCCCTACAAACCAATAAATGTTTTTTTGTTGGGGAAATATCCATATAAGATAGAGTGTTAGTGTTGATTGGGTAGTTCATGTAGGAATTAAAACTTTTATACCAACAAGGCCGAATGGCCAATGAATCTTCCACATCAAGATTGTTGATTTGCCACTAGTTAGATCAATTAGAAGAGATTAAACAACCAGTGAATATTCTATATATGAAAGGTTTGGAGCCTTAAAATGGCCCACGCACCTCCACTGGTCCACTCACTGACCTCTATTTTCTTTTTGGTGAAAAAAATATAAATTACTAAGGTACAAGTACAAACAAGCACAATGAAAACCAACGAAATTAAAGCTCAATGTCTTTGCCACGTGGTCAGAATATAGCCCTTTTTCAGGGACAATATTAAGATATTGAAATTTTCAACAACCAATGTTGGTTGTGGGAAACACTGACAAAGGGTAAAGAGTACAAGGCTGACGTTAACTGAACGATTAAATAGGTGGCAATTAATCCAGAGGTCTCCTGCATGGTGAACAGCTCAGATTGACAATGGAGAAATATGGCAGGTCATGTAGCGAAGCCACTTTACTATTTTACCGAGCTGCTTTGTTTAGAAATCAAAGACAACTTTTTGAGTTTGGGGCTGCAGGAAATAAAAGCGAGTCAATAAGTGTTTTTTGCATTTGAGAAGAGTTACTTTTAAAAGCAAAACAATTTTTAAATTGAAAACACTTTTAACCCCCAAAGAATAAATCCTAAGTGCCCGTTTAACAGGGATTTTATTGAGGGATGTTTGGTATACATGGCTTCTGTTTATTTGATAAACATTTCTACTTTATTTATTTTTAAAACTGAGAAAAATAATTTGATACCATTAGGCGCTATATAAGCTAAACAGTAAATAAACATCTTAGTGGTGTTTTTTGAGTAAATGGTGCCACATAGGCATCCATCAGTAAAAGCCTCATTAATTGTTTTTGTACGTATCTCCCGTTTAGAAGATTCATTTTGGAGTTTCCTGAAACGAGTAGGTGTTTATTTGGCACTTTGTTGATGGGGTGTTTAATGGCGCTTATTTGTGATAAATGCCCACATTAATAGTTTTTCTCAGTTTTACAGTCACATAAGTACAGAATGTTTATTTAATAAACATAAACAGAACCAAATGCATTCTAAAATGAAGCTTCCCTCAATAGTTGGCTCACACATAAGCTAAGACAAACGTTTATTAAATAAACAGTTTTACCAAATAACATTTTAGGACAAACACCCACATGGCGATGAACCGACACTGTTTTTTCAAATGAACAAAAGCCATGACAAACACCATTTCAGTAGTTTCTGGCATTGCAAAATAGGTCATACATGAAAAGCCATGAAGTTACTTTATGTTTGGTGAAAAAACCTGGAAATTGGGGTTCAGTGTTTTACAGGGCTTTGAGAGCACAAATATTGAAGCTTATCCAAACAAAACTTATTTATATATACTAAATATGTTAACTCCATGGTGCATCTCTCTCCCTATAATCCTCATCACATGCAGTACTACACATATCCCTTGGACATACATTAAAAAAGAGTTGAAATTTATGAAAGGAGGCCCATGATATGAGAGGATGCATTTAACCGTTGATTGGTGTCACATGGGATTTAAAACTAATTCAAGTGGAGTTTATTAATAGATCCATTCCAATCTGATCTAATAAAATTAATTAAAGAAACTGTTCTTCATGTAATGGGGTCTTCATTTGAAGGAAAAGAATAAGAAAAAGAGCACCTAACCCCATAAATACGTTCAAATTAAAGACTAGTCTCATCACTTAGTCCATCTCATTTATGGGAGCCTTCCCATAAAAATTAATATCAGTTTTGCAGGTATGGTGAGCCATTTAAGCTTGTTTTTGACAGAGTCAATCTATTAAAGTGGAGCTGCTTCAGAGTGGAATATGCCGAGTTATTGGGGTGTCAGCGTTCACTCTACTCTTGCTTCATAAAATTACTCTCAAAGCAAGGTTTTTCTGCACAACGAATGGGTTAGGGGTTTGGTTCTTGGATGGAACGGTCTGACCATTTGAACTAAATGGGTGGTCTGTTCTGATAAAAATAAATAAAAAAATAAAAAATGGTCAAAACTGTTTCCAGTTTTAAGAAAAATCAAAACCAATTACCTAATCGGTTTTCAGTTTTTTCGGTTCAACTATTCGGTCCGATCTAGTTTTAAAAACCATGTTTCAAAGTACTTTAGAAGGAACTAAAAAGGTGAAAATGAAGAAAATAAATGGACATCTCACAGTTTACTGTTATTTGTGTGGACCGAAGAGCACCAAAAAATATATTTAATACAAAATTGATGCAACTCTGTACGTACCTCTCACTAAAAATGAATATTTAATATATTTTTTGGGAGGTTCTGTGTATGTATACAGCACCAGTCCCTCATCATCCACTCCACTATTCAGACAAAACAGCTAAAGATTCCTCTGTCCACATGGTTTGCTTGTTGAACCGCCATGGCTGTGTACAACTTAGCTTTTTTTTTTTTTCCTTCTTCCTTCGAATGTACAATAGCTTAATGTAGCTTAAATAAAAGAAAATTATTGATGGAAACAGCAGAGTTTAAGGATTGTTTGTCAATGTGGATGATTTTATGTTTTTAAATATCCCTTAATTATAATTTCTTTTTTCTGTTTTTTAGCTTTCACAAATTTCAAGGCAAGGAATCAGGAATGCCCGTTTGATTGGTTACCCCTTTCATAGGCTCATTTAATATAAAATTTTAGTAATTAAAAGAGAAATATTATTTTTACTAGTTAATCATCTAATTAGATCATTCAGCCCATGATTTTTAAAACTGATTCGAAAATGGAACTGTTTTAGCCATTAATTTTTGGTCAAACAGTTTGGTCGTCTATTTGGAAATTCAATTTGACGGTTTTGAAATTTAAAATCGGACCCAAAACCATAAACAATTTTCAGATCAACCGATCTGACCATCCGGTCTGATCCTATCAAAACCATGACTCAGCCCATAATAATCGCCAAATGATCCAGTTCCAGCGGCATTTCATGTATTATGCCCATTTTAAAACACGAGAAGCCACTGTGCGACAGCCCTCCCAAATGGGCACTTATTAGTTGTGCAAAGTGCAAATAAGCCTTTTCGCTGTAATTGACTTTTTAAACCTTTCGTTATTATAAAACAAAACAACCCATGACTTATGGCTTTCACTAAAGCCCATTTCCGTTTGAGAGGTCGAAGGTTTGGTTGAGTCAATTTCGTAAAACTGATCTGGAAAAACTTCAAAAGAGAAGGTGTTTTCTTTTTTTTTTTGGATGAAATACAACTAATTTGGGTTTTCCATATTTTTCACACTAATGACTAAACATTGCTTATAGAATGTCTAGGTGGGGCCCACCTCACAAAGGCATAAGCCTCAGCGTGAAAAATCTCCCAAATGGGTAGAAAGCCCTGTTTTAAAATAAACCTGATTTTAAAATAAACCTCCATCCTTGACTCCGATCCTTGGTGGGATAAAAATGAACCTTCATCCCCAACCTCCAATGGAGATGGTTTCCTTGTTGAGGGCCCAAATCCCCCAAATTTTAAATTATTTTTTTAAATAATTTTATTTAAAACGAGGAAAAAGTTTTAAATATAAAATATTTTAAATATATTTTATATATATAAGTAATACCATAAATAATATAAACAATATTATATATATCAAATATATATCATCATAGTCAGAGCAGGGTAGAGAATTCACTCCCATCTCCATCCCCGCCAAGGCAATCTCCACTCCGGCCCCGATGGGTCAGGGAAAGCCGGGTACCCGGCAGGGACAACTGGTTAGCTAAGTTGAACTGTGTAGGGCTTTTTGTTACAAATCGGGAAATGATTTGCTCCGTTAAATAACCGGTTGGATCATTCAGGCTGCATTTGCCATTCCTTATTTTGATTTGAGGACTTATCTCATTTTTGCAGTTAAAATAACCCTATGAAAGCATTCATTAAAATAATGACCCTATGAAAACTGAGTTTTTAATTGCAAAAAAGTGATAAATCCTTAAAATAAAGAATTCCAAATGCAGCACCCAAAAAACTCATCATGTCCATAGGTCAACGCTTAAACCATCCAATCCAGTTGAGGTCCAACAGCACTGGAAATATACAGGTAATTCCCGTTTAATAGTAAAATTAATTTGATTAAGCTCTGGGGGATGCCTTTGGCACATGACAACCTACCGGCAAGACCATTACTGACCTTTGGTTGTCAATTTTCATCAAACCCAGAACATCATAATGCCACTGTCTTCATCCTGGAATTACAATTCCACTTAATTGCAAGATGGTGACATAAATGGCTGCTGAAACCTGAACCATTTTCTGGAAAAAGGAGAAGCTTATCCTTGTACCCAAACAGCTCTGTCAGGATATTTTCTTTGGGAAAACAGTGGAAGAAAGAGCAATTTTTCTGAAGGAAATCAAGCTTCATAGTTAGAAATGTAGGGACAAAGCTCATAAGATAGAGGCAAGATGACAGTCACCGGAAGTTACTGTTCTTGTGATCCACATAATGTTGGCAATTAATATTCAGGCCCCTCAACACCCTCCACATCCATGTACCTCATAAAGAATGGCCTTGAGCATTAACTGCAACAGCCTGTAACAACACAGACCTTGTTTGGCAATTTCTGCAACTCTTATATTCAAATAAAGGGAAAGATGAACAGAATCTGAGTGGCCAAGAGGAAAAGAAGACAATCAAAAGATTTCAAATTTAAAACCCATTTGACCTCCACACCATTTGATCCCATGATCAGGGATTTAGCACTAATCAAGGATCTGAATGAACAAACTTTCCTTTTTTTTTCCAGTTTCCTCTTCTGTTGTTAATAGTTCAACTGGTTAGTTTTAATTCAGGGTATGGAAGCATGAAGAACAGATTTTGAGAGGATGAATTCAATGATTTCGAGATTCATGAAAAAAGGGTAGAAAGGAACAACTGGGAAAAATGATTAATCTTCCACAGAGAAAATATGCTCTTTGAACTAAACATTCTACAGTAAAATGCAGAGATTGTGTTGATGACTTTTTACATTTTTCATTCTTTTTCTTCTCTTTTTCCTTTCTCGCATCCTCTACTGGTCTCTCCAAAATTTAGGAATCCAGAATAATTAATCAAGAAACAAATCCAAGAATCAGACGTTGGGTGAAGAGGATGAATGAACCACCTTATTCTGTCTTCCCATAAGCCAAAGCAGTGTTCTCCTTGCAAAGGATGGCGGATTGGCCTGAGAATCCAGACTGACATGGCTACCAACTTCCTCATCTAAACCCAGTTCACTGCCGCTGCTTTCCCACCTAGAAACATCGATTTCAGAGATAGTCCTCCTACTACTGTTGTTATGCTTCTGCTTCAAATCATCTGCAGGATTCTTCTGTAATGGAAATCGAAAAGAGAAAGCTCGCCGGGAAGAATCTTCTGCCGGCGTTGGTTTCCCCTTCTTCGACCGGAGCCAGATCTTAGAAACAGAAAAACTCTCCTTTTTGCTCCTTCCAACATCATTTCCAGTGCTGATACTGCCACCGCCAGGAAACTCAGAACTTTCCACAAATGCCTTGAATTCTGACCTGGTAGAATGGCAATCACATTCAGACATTGCGAGCTTGTGGCCTGGCGTTAATGGCAGAGAAGTCTTCCTACTTGTTTGTTTCCGTGCCGAGGGTCTTATGGCCACCTGCAATGAAGAACTCTCATCCATAACATACTCGAACGACCCCATTGAGAAACACCTCCTTGCATCTACATTACAGCTACTGCTACTGCATTCGCCATGAGCGCCACCTCCAGCAGCAACATCTACATTCCTGAACTTCCCAAGCTTAACAGGAACGACCTTTTCCTCTGAAACCACCGATACAACAGGAATGACATCCTCTTTCACTGAAATTTCACATGATTTCTGAGAGACATCATTGCAGGAGAGCCCCAATTCCTCATCTCCATGAAATCCCATTCGGGCACTAGTTCCTAGAACTGAATTACCACCGAGAGCAGCCTCTCTATCTGGAACAATCTCTCTGGAGCTTTCACTCCCAGATTCGAGAACAAGAACAATAGGAGAGCAGCTAGCACGTGGAGAGAAATCAGGAAGCAAACTACCTCTGCAGAGAGGGCAAGTAGAGTGAGACAAGAGCCATGTGTCTATGCACTCCATATGGAAGGCATGGCTGCATTTTGGGAGTAGTCTGAGCTTGTCCTCAGCCTCAAATTCACACAAACAGACAGCACAGTCAAATGGGTTCTTGGCTCCTATAATGGTCTTATAAACAAACACAGGGAGGGTATCTATGAAGGATTGATCTACCCCTGCATCATGGAGATGGAAGAGCTGCTGCAACTGCCCTTGCAAGGCTGTCACATTGTCTGAATCTTCAGGCTCTCTATTGGGGGGTCTCAGAAGAAATCTAACAAGAAGGTGAAGCAAACCAGAGATGAAGAATATAATAGCAAGAATTATGATGATGAGTAAGATACTTGGACTGATTTTGTTGTCAACACTGAAACTATTAGATTGAATGAAAGGAGGTGGGGGTGATTGAGAAACAAAGAACGGCTGCTGGGTGGGAGGAAAAGAATCATTTTCCTGTGTTTCAAGAAAAACCCAACCCATACTTTCTAAGGAGGAGACACTAGAAAACTCACCAAGATTGCAGCTTCAGAACTCTTTCAGTTTCATGGCTTTCATTGCAGCTTCAGAACTCTTTCAGTTTCATGGCTTTCATCTCCTCTCAAGAAACCCATCTCCCACAGAAGAAACTTAGCTTAAAACGAAAAGCCCAGCAAGCGTTTTTAACTTCTTATCATGTGGGATGTAGGATTAGCCGGCCCGTTGATAGGGATTGGCTTGTTCTTATTTTCCCTCTTTTTTTACTGTAAATAAAAGGCAGCAAGTCAACGAGAGGGAGAAGATGAAAATTAAAAATTGAAAATTAAATCTTTCCTGAACGGCGATATTAATGGAATCGCAAATGCATACAGTTGGGAATTTAAAATGGGTAATAAATCTCCCAACAGAGTAACATAAATGAGATTAGCTTTTTCACAGTCGGTTATAATTAGCTTAAATTATAAAACCAAATAAGCAAACAAAAAGAAGAACAAAAGAATGAAGAAATTAAAATTTTGGTTCAAACAGGAAGATAATAAAAAGTAAAAACTCTACAAAACCCAAGATTACTTATTCCAATCCAAAGCTTTTCCTGTTGACTTTAAATAAACCTCGCATCAACCCCAATGACCATCAATTCTCCAATCAAATAAGAAAGAAAAATAATGTAGGAAACCAATGCAGTTTTACTTTCTCTCAATTTTTTACTATGTTCTATAAACGTGTAAAGGGTTTCTTCTTCTGTTCTTTCTGATCACATTCTTCTTCTATTCTCTTCCTAAATTTGAGAGAAAGACTGTGGGACCCCTCCCTTTCTTGTCTTTTTCTTTTGACCTCATCAGCCCCTTTTACCCATTTAAAAGAAACCCAGAGAGAGAAAGAGGAGAAGCTTGAAACGTGGTGCCTAGGAAAGATGATATCTTGATATAAAAAAATTGAAAAAAAAAAAGGTAAGCAGTAAAAATGTTAGAGAGTGACTGAGCAACCCTGTCTCAAGCTGTGGCACTCTTAGTGCTCAAACGCTTATTTTATGGACTCGGCTCTCACTCTCTGTGCCTCCAAAAAGGGAGTCATCCATGGACATGAACCCACACAAAAAGGTCTCATCTCCTTTGTGGATCTCCTCCCCTTCTTCATCTTAGGAGTTTTCACTTTTTAGTGTCTTTTTATTGAGCATATCATGGCTGATGCTTGTCGTTTTATTTATTACTTTTTCTTGTTTCAATGTTAAGCACCTCAAGTCAACTCTTACTTCACCATTATGTGCTTATTCCTTGCTCATGGGTGGACAAAAGCATAATCACTGCTGATAGAAGGGGAGAGAGAGGACTTGACCTATCTGGGTCTGGGGTGAAACAGAACAGGCCAGTAGATCCTATTCTCTGCTTGCAACAATTTGAACCCATGCCCTCCCAAATGGGGAGGAGGGGGGGGACCTCACCCAACCCTCAAAAGAGAAGGGCTGGAACTAAAATCCAGCAAAAACAAACTAAGGTAAGGTCATTCTCAGTCTCAGATTGTACCAAGTAATTGGATCCAACAAGGATTAATCTTCAGTTCAATAAACAAAGTTAAAATATGAGAATTTCACTGTGCAAAAGAAAAACTTTATGTAACAGATTATCTTGGACTATGGGTCCTCTATAGCTTCCACTTTTAATAGAAATGGACCATTACTCAATGAGACCCACAATAGAGCTAAGTTTTCCATGTAAAAGAATCCTAGGATCCAATGAACATTAAAGATTTGTTTTTTGCTTCTAAAATGGTGTAATTAATTGCACCTTGACAATTCTCTTGTTAATGTAACCCTATTTTAGTAACAAATTCTTTAACCAAAGTTTTTTTTTTTTTACTTACATTTGTGTGGTAAAAATACATAATTGTGATTATCTTTCAACTTGGCTTTTGCTCAGTCAACTTTTTAGAGGAACCCTTTCAATGGTGGCCCTGAATTGACTTTAAATGGACACAAACCATTGAGAGCCAAATAATTCATGGATCTTGTAGCCTTAACACCAAAATATTATCGTATTTTTTAAATTTTTAAGGGCATTATTTTATTGAATGTTTGAGTACATAATTGTGATTATCTTTCAACTTGGCTTTTGCTCAGTCAACTTTTTAGAGGAACCCATTCAATGGTGGCCCTGAATTGACTTAAAATGGACACAAACCATTGAGAGCCAAATAATTCATGGATCTTGTAGCCTTAACACCAAAATATTATCGTATTTTTTAAATTTTTATGGGTATTATTTTATTGAATGTTTGAGCTGCCCAGTATTAATTATTATTTACATCTTTCACACCAAAATTTCTATATTATAGCCAACTAAATTAGATAAATCAGCATCTTAATTAATCACTAGCTTTAAAAATCTTAATTTATGTTTATATACATGTAATTCTCCACTTATGCTGTGATTAGAAGTCAATTTTACAACCTGTAAGTAAATTTTATCACTTCAAAGAGAAGCGCAAATAATTGTTTCTTCTTTTGGTTTGTGAGAACTGAGAAGAGAACAGAGCAGCATCATTGATCCTTTTACACTCCGTTTGTCTCAACATGGCATGTTAAAAAATTTTCACAGTTTGGAAGGAGTACAAATACAAATTTGTAGAGTGCAAAAGCTTATATTTTGTATTATTTTATATGTAATCATACTGTGCATATTTGTATTTATACTCCTTCCAAACTAAGCCTATGGGGTGCTTGCACTCAAAGGCAGCGTTTGAGTGCAAATGTTTGCATCATAATGCTTTAAGGACCATTTTCCTTAAATCCATATCCACCCATTTATTGGCATGCATCCAAACCATCTAAGAATTATCAATAATTACAAAATAACCCAAACCCCGCTTAGTATGTTCTCATTCCAACATCTTGGACCCATATCACTAATTTTTTGGGTAGATGGACCCATATCACTAATTAGGTAAACAAGTTACCGATTGGGAATTAATTCATTTCTATTCACTCTTCAGGTGTCCTTTTAATATGTGAATTTTGGAATTTAATAAGGCTAGTTAATTAATTACATTTACTAGTTTTGATCTAAACTCTTTTTCATTATATATCTATAGAAGTTAAATCTTTTTTTTCAGTTTTTGATGAAGAAAGGCGATTATTTTAGTATTTTCATTTCAAATGATCATGCAACAACTACCTGAAATACATGGACCTGGTCCACCCATGATCTAACCCTGCCCGAATTGAATGAAATTATCAGAGATTGAAGCGTTTGGGGGAGGAAATGACTACACCCAACAGGGTTAGTTAGATGGTGGATTAGGTATGAAGTTGCCAGTCATCTGATTTTATATAATTAGGTCTAGTCATTCTATGCCTACCACATGCATGAAGTAAGACTGTTTTACTCTAACTTTATAAATTAGGGAATTTCAAGGATAGCAGTGGGTGGGTTTGGTTTGGAAAGTTGATTAATGCTGCCAAAGAGAGAGAGATGTGTCTTTTTTAGTGTCTATACATGAATCATTCAACAACACCAATTTCAAATTTTGCCTCATTTAAAAACTTTCATTTGTGTAAGTAAATTCTACTGCAAACTGAAAGATCAGTAAATGTTGGTCCATGTCAAGACAGACACTCAATGACAATAAGAAAGACAACTACTGAAAGCACACACACAGATATTAAGTTTTGAAAACAAATCAACCAGAAACAACTAATCCATTTTTACCTGCCTTAACAACTTTTGTCCCATTTGTTTGTGATGTCAAAAGGGCTGAAACCTTTTATTTTTCTCTTGTTTGAATAGGGCTGAAACTAGTTAAGGATTGAAAATTCGAAAACCCAGGAGCATAAAACAGCAAGTATAGCGGCTAGACTTTGACAGAAAGGTTGGATTTTCAAAAACAGTTAAAACCCATGTGAAAGAGGATCGTTTATGTCACACCAGTAAGCAACAACCTTAATTTCAGGCGACTTTTGGCATTTATTGGTGATCCCAAGAGATATTTACCTGAGAATCAAGACAAGATCCCAAAAAAAAAATTTCCATTCGTTTGGCTCGAGGAGCATCTATCCTTCCATTCCTCACAAAACCAATAGACAAGGATCGATCATCTGATGGGACATTCAATATTGCTTGGATTTTATAGCCGTAGCTCACTGTACCTGTGGCAAGGGGGAGGATTTCCAGCCATTGAGATGCTCAACCTTTATCCAGAGCAAATTTTCCACACAAGGTAAATGCGCTCAACACTCTGCAGATATATATAGTCTTGTAAAAATTCTAAGCTGATCCCTAGGACCCCAGTGAAATAACCTAGGTGTTGACTTGTTGGGCCCTGAGTTCTCTATTTTCCTTCTCTATTTGTGCTAGGTTTCCGGCTCGGGGTGTCAATTGGACTGGATTTGGTCAAATTCGATCCAGTCTAATGTGAATCCATTATAAATGGATCAGGTTCAATCTAATCCAATGAATATTTTGGACCGGTCCAATTTAATGTCTGGACCGTTCAATCTGTTCAAATTTGTTTTACTTTAGATTAATTCTAATCCAAACCTGGTCCATTGGCACCTATATTCTTATCTATTATCAATGGACCAGATATTGGCTCAATCCAACCCAATCCAATATAAATTCATATGGATGAACCAGGACCAATCCAAGCCAATAAATACTTTGCACCATTAAGTCTAGACTGGTCTGATTCCATATGCCTTGTTGGTCCGATCAATCCATCCAAATTGATTTTGGTTTGGACAGGGTCAAATCCAAAACTGGTCTCTTGACACCCCTATTTCGAGCTTTTGGATTAAATCATGAACCCGTTATGATCGTCATGAATCTGGATTTGCTCCTTATAGAGCACACATCTATTTCCAGCTTCTGGATTAAATCATGAACCCTTTATGATCATCATGAATCTGGATTTCCTCCTCATAGAATACGCCTCACACCAACCTCATAACACTTTCAGCTGTGCATTGAAAACATATTCCATACTTGATTCTGTCATTCATGGTGACGTGTTCATGGCTGCAATGTTCTGTGATATTGGTTTGAGGAATGCTCTCTGAGGAGCAAATCCAATTTCTGATCATCATGATCTTAGGGATCAGCTTAGTATTAGTGGCTTATAGTGCCAATTCTGATTAATCAGGGTGATTAAGGTGCCCACAATGAGGAAGGACCGCAAATAGTCCAGTTCTACTGATCATAATACATTGTTAGTCATGTTCACCCAGCTGCACATAGGGAATATCGGT